AGGTTGGATGAGAAATGACGGAAAAATAGATTGGAAAGCCATTAGCGAAGCTAATACAAGGATTTTGTTGCGTTCCATTGACTTGCAGCTATTAGGTAACACCGTGGGAGTGTAAAGTAAAAAAAGGAAAGATTTTGACACAAGCGAGATAAAATCGGCCGTATCGGTGCGGCCTTATACGGAATCTTACACCCAAATAAACAGAATAATTTTAAATCATTCTTATACGTTGTTTATCGGAACAACTTATTTGCGGAAGCAAAAACTCTCAAGGGAGGATACTTCACCGATGTAAGAGTTCAGGAAAAGATACATACTGAAACTTAGTTTACAAACAATTACTCCAAATATGTCTTCCGTATTAGCGAAACATTGCTTTGAAAGAAGTTATACGCCTTTAAAACTCCAATCCATTACACGAAATTCGATGTTATGTTGACGAAAGCGGCTGATGAATAGTTAGTAAGTACGCCATCTCTTAAGCTTACTGAAGGAGTTCTTTTTCTCCTTAAAATTGGTTTTCATGCTTCATGAACGGTGCCTAGACAGCTGGAGGATGCATTTTCACATATATTTTCACATATGATTGTTTTACTAAATCTCAAGTCTTCCTCACACAAATTCACTACACGAGCTTTTGAATCAACCATTATCAGCAAGTCATTTAAATTTAACGTTTGTGATTACTTATAATAAGCTATAAGAGTTAAACGTATCTTTTAAAAAGAATGAAACATGCAAAATGGATATGACAAGAACATTTTGAAAAAGTTTGGGAACCTTCCATAACTCGGTGAAAGTTTTGCCGAAAATTTTATGCTATTGTGAACGAAATTTTACTGTGACATACGTAGCAATTATAGAAAGAAAGAAGAAAATTATCGATAGTTTTGTATACGGCGAAGTTTTCTTAATATGCGTGAGAGAATGGCGCAACAAGATGCTTAGAGGAGGTAATGATGATGATGATTGCGATAAAGTAACTCTATTCGTTGAGCTCATTGTGATTATGAAAAACGCTTGAGCTTTGAACCTGTGGAATTGCAAATTATGTGTATTCATAAATAAGACATCCTTTACTCAAAGATTAAACAAGTGAAGTCAATCACTGGTTTAAGGATGCCTTTCAAACCTTTCAACTGTTCTTATCATTCGTTTACAATTGGAATTTTTGATCAAAACAACTGAACGATTGAAAATACATTATTCAATTGCATTATTACCATCCAGAGAGACGTAAAAAAAATTAGAATGTGAGTCTGGTTGCTCAACATTCACGTATGAATACGAAATGGCATACTTACCATCACACTACCGGTGCTGAACGAACATTGGAATGAAGAAACGAGTGTGATAGAAAAGCTCATAATCTCTTTCAGAATAACGCCTCACAGAAATAGAAGGGAGATTTTGTATCTGTTCAAAAATTCCTGTAGCGTCAGATAGATATCCTTTCCTTGTGAGAAACTTGTAAATTGCTGAATTGGCACGGATACAGAGGAAAATCTTGGGTCAGAGTGATTAGCCAAACAATTTCGTATCATTTCAAGCCAGTTTCAGAAAAAAAAACGAAGTCAAGCAAAACCGTGTTATTAGACGATGGCGCTTTGTAGCATAAAACACACAAACCTTTTTGAAATTGTCTTTCTTAAGCTCCCATGCCACACTTTCAAGAACCTCTTTCAACCTCATTATGCCGCACTGCTCATTGAGGGAGTTTGCTTCTTCGATTTGGCTCTGTAACTATGAACATCAAGTAGCATCTGCAATTAGAAGAGATATCACATTATGTGCGTCTTATAATTTACGATTGGAAAATCGATAACGGAAGTCTAATTTTTTCTCAAGAATAGAATCTTTTGAACAAAGTTCACATGCGACAATTCAAAATACCAAGTGTTTTTAGCCTCTACCTTTAAAATGTTATATAGATCGGCTAAATCATGAAAAGTGGATAAATTCTAACCATATCTGGATTGAGTATAATCAGCTCGAATCTGAAGTTGTGAGCCCACGATTGAGCAAAGTTCAAACTATCCAGCGAGCTGTGATCTGCCACCAGTACCTGCAACACAATCAGATTTTCATAAGGACGACCCTCAAGCATCATATATCAACATACATGAGAGTCACAGCTGACTTTCTTCAAAACGTCTTCCATGAGTTCCAATTCGTGCTTTGTATTCAACCTGATTCAAAAATTTTAGTGAATTATTTGCAACAAAAACCGAAGTGGGATTCACTTCAAGACAAGAGCTCCAATCGCGACATCGGCTTGCTGCTTGCAGAACTTCAATAGATCGTGACCGGTGCGGAATTGTCTTATTCCGACATTAGCTTGGTAGTATTTAGTGTCCAGGTGAAGAACTGATGAGGTGCTGTCATTTCCCACTGCTTTCACCAAGCGTTCAGTGAGCTGAAGAACAAAGGAGAACCTTATTGGAACGCATTTAAGACAAACCTTTCTTAAATCTTACTACGGAGGATAATTTATTTCATCTGAGCTAGCAGACGTAACCGCATTAGTATAACCAAAGTTGAAAATTAAACTCTTAGTATTTGTAGTTTTCTTACTCAAAATTTATTCATTATTACATTACACTAATGGAAACTATCAATAAATAGAAATTTAAGATGATCCTTCGAGCAGATTGATTTCGAGTTAGCAAGATATCCAATCAGCACATTATGGAAACACATGCAAAAAAATCACTCACAGACAGGTCGCCATCACCAATGATTGCAACAATTTGCTGATTCGATGCAGACAATTCACCTTCACCAGTTTGTTCAACAGAATGCAGCATTTCCGATCACATTTGCTGGGGTGGGCAATCGGGCAAGAAACGGGCTCTTTCACACCCTGAAAGCTTCACGATCGAAGGTCAACAGTGAGTATGCATGTTCAATATGCTAAACTCGGAGGACAACCTACGAGGAAC